AATCATAATGAGAAAAGGACTAGAAAGTTAAAAGCAAAAGCTTGCTTATATTATGTAGTTTCAAACACAATATTCATCAAAATCATGAACCTACAATCAGCCAAAGAGATCTGGGAATATCTTAAGAAGGAATACCAAAGCAATGAGAGGACAAAAAACATGTAAGTGGTGAATTTGATCAGAGAATTTGAGATGCAAAAAATAAAAAAATTAGAATCCATTAAAGAGTACTTTGACAAGCTATTCAGTATTATGAACAAGGTGAGACTATTTGGTAAGGATTTTTCTGATAAGAGAATTGTGTAAAAAATTCTGGTTATATTACCTGAGAAATATAAAGCTAAAATCTCTTCTTTAGAAGAGTCAAAAAATCTGTCAAGCATTTTTTTGGCAAAGTTAGAGAATGCATTGTAGGCACAAGAACAAAGAAAAATGATGAGACAAGAGAATTCTATGAAATGTGCCTTTCAAGCAAAGGCATGAAATTCAATAAGAGGCAAAAAAAATAATAGAAAGCAGAACAACAACAAGCCTGGCAACAATGAAGTCAACAATAAAAGTAAGGATGGAACTTATCCATTTTATCCACACTGCAAGAAGACCAATCATCCGTAAAAAAAGTACTGATGGAGGTCAGATATTCAATGCAAAAAATATGATCAAATTGGACATATAAAAAAGATTTGTAAGTCATATAAGCATAAAAATGAAGTAAATGTCGCTACTAAACAATATCTGGATGGGCAATTATTTGTTGCAACATGCTTTGCAACAAATAGTAGTTCTAGTGACTCTTGGCTTATTGATAGTGGTTGTACAAACCACATGACAAATGATTAGAAACTTTTTAAAAAACTTGATAAAACTGATATTTTCAAAGTCAAGATTGAAAACAGTGAATACATCGTAGTCAATGACAAAGGAACAGTGGTCATAGAAAGCCTAACAGGTTTAAAATGTATTACTAATGTTATATATATACCTGACATTGATCAAAACCTATTTAGTGTTGGACAACTACTTGAGAAGGGTTTCAAAATATTATTCAAAAAATAATGGTGTAAGATCAAAGATGCAAAAGGCACAGATACATTTAAGATAAAAATGAAAGGAAAAAGCTTTGCTCTGAATCTAATAGAGGAAAAACATATAGCCTTTCTATGTAACACAAGCAATGCAAAATTATGGCACAGGAAGCTTAGGCTTTTCCATCATGCTGGACTTTTTTATATACAAAAACACAATTTAGTGAAAAGAGTACCGTTGCTAGGAGAAAAGATGGTAGATTGTGAAGCTTATCAATATGGCAAACAAGTTAGAAGTTTTTTTCCTTAAACTGCATCAAAAGTAACACACAAGCTTCAACTGGTTCAAACAAATATAGGAGTACCTTAAAAAATATCATCTTTAAATGGTAGTAAGTACAATATTATCTTTATTGATGATTTACTAGATTCTGTTGAATTTATTTTCTTAAATTCAAATATGAAGTTACTGGTGTATTTTGAAAATTTAAAGTATGGGTGAAGAATCAAAGTGGTTGCAGAATACAGGTAATAAGGTCAGATAATATGAAGGAATACACTTTTGATAGGTTTAACAAATTTTGTGAAGAAACTAGTATTGAGCACTAACTTATTGCACCCTATACTCTACAAAAAAATAAAGTAAGTGAAAGAAAAAATAGAATCATAATGGAGATGATAAGGTGTATGCTATATGAAAAGGAGATACCAAATCGACTACTAACTAAATTTTTGGTATCTCCTTTTCATATAGCATACACCTTATCATCTACTTGATACAATTAGAATGCTACTTGCCTTGGCAGCACATAAGGGATGAAAGGTTTACCAACTGATGTAAAATATGCATTTTTAAATGGTTATTTATAGGAAAAGATCTTTGCAGAGCAGCCAGAAGGTTTCTAAGTCAAGAGATAAGAAAAAAGGTCTACTTGTTAAAAAAGCCTTGTATAGCCTTAAACAAGCTCTCAGGGCCTGGTACAGCAGGATTGATGAACACCTACTAGGTCTTGGTTTTGTTAAAAGCCTAAGAGAAGCTACGTTGTATGTAAAAGAAATCGATGCTAATCTGATCATAGTTTCTATTTATGTTGATGACATGCTTGTAACAGAAGCTGATAAGGAGCTAATAAAAGAGTTTAATGCTAAAATACTTAAAGTATTTAAGATGACAGACCTTAGTCTGATATCTTATTTTTTGGGAATTAAGGTAAAGTAAAATCAGGATTGAGTCTTCACATGCCAAAAGAAATATACAAGGAAAATACTTAAGAAATTTTATATGGAGGACTGCAAATGTACAAATACCCAATAAATCAAAAGAAAAAATTTAACTAAGATGATGGATCAGACAAAATTGATGAAGGTCAGTACAAAAGTTTGATTGGTTGTTTGATGTATCTTACTGTCACCAAACCAAACATTATATTTGCAGTGAGCCTACTCTCACGATTCATGCATTATACTAGTGAGTTGTACTTTCAAACTGCTAAAAGGATTATCAGATATATTAAGGGCACAACAAATTATGGTATCAAATATTTTTATTGTTAGGATTTTAAGCTCCATGGTTACTCTGATAGTGATTAGGCAGGTTCAGTTGATGATATGAAAAGCATAATAGATTTTTGTTTTAGCTTTGGATAAAAAATATTCCCATGGTGCTCAAAAAGTGAAAAGTGATAGCTCAGAGCATTGCTAAGGTTAAATATGTTGCAGCCACTGTAGTTGTGAATCAAGCACTTTGGCTCAAGAAAATACTTGTAAACTTATATATATAAAAGAAAAAGCCAACACAGATTCATATAGACAACCAAGTTGCAATTTCAATATCAAATAATCCTGTTTTCATGGCAGGACTAAACACTTTAAGATCAAATTATATTTCTTAAGAGAAATGCAAAAAAAAGGTGAAGTCAAATTGCTTTATTACAAAACTAAAGATCAAATTACAGATGTGTTAACCAAAGCCCTATCCAAAGCTAGATTTGAAGCTTTAAAAAGTAAATAGGTCTTTGCAGCTACTAAGGCAAGGAGAAATGTTGCAAGAATGCCTTATTAGCTGCATTATGCAAATATAGGTTGCTAATGTATGATGAATAATTAGATGTGTGTTAGTGGTTTATCAAGTTAGATGTTTGTTAGTGGTTTATGAAAGTTCGATGTTTTTTAGTGGTTTATGGAAGTTAGATATGTGTTAGTGGGTTATGAAAGTTAGTTGGGTGTTAGTGGGTTATGAAAGTTAGTTGTGTGTTAATGGTTTTTGTTTATGGCTTGCAAACAGGAAGATCATTCCTTGTGACTAGCAGTCATTCTAGTTTTAGGTTAAAATATTTTTGTATTTAAGGAAGTTGCATCAAATAAAGAGGTGGTACAACATTTTCAGTTTCATATTCTCATTGTTCATTTTCACAAGTTTTTTTTTTATCTCTGTAAAAGCCAACAGTTACCCTTCACTTGGAATCTTTTGATTTATCTTTTCTATATAAGAAAAAGAGGAGACCTAAGCTTTTATTTTTTTTCAATTAATCATCGACCTAAAATAATAGAATAAGTTAACTCTATTAAAAAAAATTAGGTTATTTATCAATAGGTCCTATGCATTTTTCATTCTTTGTTAAAGAGTCCCTCCACTTATAAACATATTTAAAATAGTCTTTTTTTTACTGGTCTTACATTATTCCTAACTTATAAATAGTTTCGTTCTTGAAACTTGATTTACCTTCATTTTTGAATAATTGAGGATGTTGTTTTTTCATATCATCTTCCATTTCCCAAATTATTTCTCTTGATGTGTGATTGCTTTATTGAACTTTTATAAAAGGAATAGTTTTATGCTTCAAAACTTGCTCTTTTCGATCAACTATTCGAATAGGATATTTCAAGTATGTTAAATTTTCTTGAACTTCTAAAGTTTCATACTTTACTACATGGCTTGGGTCAGAGACATATTTTCTCAACATGGACACATGAAAAATATTATTCACACTAGATAGTTGAAGTGGTAAGGCTATCCTATATACAACTTCTCTCACCTTATCAAGAATATAAAATGGTTTTATATAACATGGGCTTAACTTTCTTTGCTTCCTAAATCGCATAACACCTTTTGTGGGTAATACCTTTAAAAAGACATAATCCTCTTGTTGAAATTCCAACTCCCATCTATTCTTGTCTACCCAACTCTTTTGATGATCTTATGTTGTTTTTAGTCTCTTTCTAATCACCTTGATCTTTTTCTCAGTCAATTATATCATTTTTGGCCCTAAAAGTTTTCTCTCAACATAAAAGGGATCTATATTTTCTAACATACATGGCTTCAAAAGAAGATATCCCAATGCTAGATTGGTAACTGTTATTATAGGTGAACTTTACTAAAGGTAAATAATCATCCCAACTACTTTTTAGATCAATTACACATGCTCGAAGCATATCTTTCAAATGATTCATTCTTTTCATTTGCCTATTTGTCTGAGGGTGAAAAGCTATACTCAATTTCAAATTTATCCCCATAGCTCGCTGTAAGCTTATCCAAAATTTAAAGATAAATCTAAAATCTTTATCTAACACAATACTTAGTGGAACTCCATGTAATCGAACAATTTCATCAATGTATAATTATGCTAGTTTATTAAGTAGAGTAATTAACTTGATATGTAGAAAATGAGTCAATTTAGTAAGTCTATCAACAACTACCTATACTACCATTATTCTCTTTCGATGATCTAGACAATCTTATCATGAAATCTATAAAAATATGCTCCTACTTCCATTCCAGTATCTCTAAAGGTTGCAACAATCCTGATAATTTTTTGTGTTCAACTTTAACTAGCTGTGACACTAGACATTATGACACAAACTGAGTTATTTCATGTTTCATGTTATTCCACCAAAAGCTTTCATTCAAATCCTTATACATCTTAGTGCCTCTAAGATGTATAGTGATCAAGACCTATGTGTTTCCTCCAAGATCTTTCATTTCAGTTCAAAATCATTTGGTACACATAATTTGTTCCCAAAACGTAGTGTGTCATCTTCATGAAGTTTAAACTCTAACCGCAAACCATTCTGCACATCTTCTTTGATTATGTACAACTCACTATCTTTTTTTATGCTAATTTTATCTTTTCGATCAAAGTTGATTGAACCAACAAACTAGTTATAACAACACATTTTCCCTATATAGTCATCTCGATTTGTTATGCATCAAAATCTTCCAACAATTTTGATTGTGAAGTAATCAAAGCAACCATACTATCAATGGACTTTTTACTAAGAGCATCAGTAACTACATTGGTTTTGCCTGGATGATAATTGATGGTCAAATCATAATCTTTGATTAGTTTCAACCATCTTCTATGTCTCATGTTCAACTCTTTTTATGTGAACAAATACTTTAAACTCTTATGATCTATATAAACTGCATAAGGTTCTCCATATAAATAATGTCTCTATATTTTCAAAGCAAACACAATGGTGGCCAACTCCCAATCATGAGTCAGATAATTTTATTCGTAGGATTTTAATTACCTAGAAGCATAAGCAATTACCTTATTATTCTGTATTAACATATAACCCAACATCTTCTTGGAGGCATTATTATAAATGGTAAAACTGTCAACATTAAAAGGTAAGGTAAGGATAAGTGTTGACACCAATCATTACTTTAACTCTTGAAAACTCTATTCACATTCTTTAGTCTATTCAAATTTTATTCACTTTTGAGTTAAATGAGTCAATGGCACAATAATTTGAGAAACCCCTCAACACATCTTTTATAATAACTTGCCAAGGCTATAAAACTTTTTACTTCTGTCACGTTTGTTGGGTGAGGCCAATTTACCATTGTCTCAATCTTTTTCAAATCAACTCAAATCCTATCTTTAGAAACAACATGATCAAGGAAAAGTAACACTTGCTAACCAAAATTTATATTTGCTAAACTTTGCAAAGAGTTGTTTATCCCATAAGATTTGTAGTACAATCCTCAAATGTTCTCATATTCCTCATCACTTTTAGAATAAACCAGAATGTCATTAATGAAAACAACAATAAACTTATCCAGATACTAGTTAAAGATTCTGTTTATCAAGTCTATAAATATAGCAGACGCATTTGTTAATCCAAAAGGCATAACCAAAAATTCATAATGGTCATACCTAGTTCAAAAAATTATCTTAGGTAGATCACCTGCCTTAATCTTCAACTGATAATATCCAAACTATAAATCAATCTTTGAAATGACCTTTGCACTTTGTAACTAATCAAATAAGTCATCAATTCAAGGAACATGATATTTGTTCTTCATAGTTACTTTATTTAATTCCCTATAATCAATGTGTAAGTGCAAACTCCCATCCTTCTTTTAAAAAAAAAATCACATGAGCTCCCCAATGTGGCACACTATGATGAATGAACTTTTTTTTTAATAGTTCTTGAAGTTATACCTTTAGTTCGCATAACTCAGATGGAGCTATATGACAAGAAGGCTTAAAATTAGTCTAGTTCTAGGGTTAAGATCGATTTCAAATTCAATTTCCTAATTAGGAGGTAGGCCAGGCAAGTTTTTAGAAAAGACATAAAAAAAATCTCTAACAACTGAAATATCTTCTAATCGTGAGCTTACATTCATTTAAGTGTCTTTCACATAGGCAAGATAGCCTTGACACCCTTTTTTTAAAGATTGCATGACACTTGAGATTGATACAACCCAACACAGAAGGTTTAAATTATCACTATCATATATAAGTTTCGATTGTCCTAGACACTGAAACACTAGTTTCTTTCCATAGCAATTAATAAATGCATGATGTATAAACAACAATTCATCCTTAAGATCACATTAAATTCTAGCATCTTTAACTGCATTAAGTTTGCTAGTAGTTCACAACCTTCTATGTGTATAACACAATTCTTATAAACAATATCAACACACATAATTTTTCCTACAAGAGTAACAACATATGAAAACTTATTCAACTTCTCAAGTTCAATACTTAAGAATGCAGCAAACTTGGCAGATACAAAGCAATAAGAGAGACCGAAATCAAATAAAACATTGGCATTGATATGATTAATGGGAACAATACCTGTCAACATATTATCACTTACATTAGCATCCTAGTGAGTCAAAGTGAAAACTTGAGCATTTCCTTTCTGTGGTTGTTCTACTCGTTTAGCTTTAACAGCATCATTCTTCTTGTTTGGATAATCTTAAGCAATATGCCCATATTTTTCACATTCAAAGCAAACTCTTACTTTCCTAAAACATGGTCCAAAATGAAATCGATCATAAAAATTGCATTTATAGAGCTTAGTACCAGATTTTATCCTTTATTTTTTACTTACATTTCCTATTACATTTTTCTAACAATTACTCTGATCTCCCTCAAACGTCAAACGTTTCTTATCACCCCTCTTTTGCTCAATCTTTTCATGTCTGAGTTAATCTTCAATGCTTGCTGTAACATATCTTTGTAACTATCAATTATGTGAGAAGATAAATAAGACCAAATATTTGGCTTCAACCCATGCTCGAATCATATCGCTCGAATCCCTTATTCTTATATGAGTTAATGATACGAGTGTAGAAACGTCTCAACTAATTAAACTTGTTGGCATACTCCAACATCATGCTTTTGTTGTGACTACAAAAATTTATTCTCTTTTTTTACTTTCACTGACTTTGGAAAATATTGATCAAAGAAAATTTTTTTAAACTTTCCCTAAGTCAAAGGCTCACCTGAATCTTCAAATATGGAATTTATAGTATCCCACTAGTACCTGGCATTTTCTCTTGGTTGAATGACAGCCAAGCTCAACTTCAAATCTTTAAAAATTTGCATCACCTTAAAAAGTTTTTTCAACTTTTTAACCCAAGCTTCTGCAACCGAAAGATCAGGGCTGCCTTTAAACTAAGGTGGGTTAACCCTTCTAAAATTGCTCATAAGTTGTCTCACGTTATCATAGATTTTCTTGTGTTTGCTACTGTTGTTGTATCAAATTAAACACTACCTGACACACTCCAACTAAATCATCTTGCGTCACAAGAGTATTATGAGCATTTTTAATATTAATTTGCTCATATCGAATATTGGTGGTTTCAAATTAATCTCTTCTCCTGTCAGTTTTTTTCTTTCGATCAACAAAGTCTACCATTGTCTCATTTCTACCACTTATTTTTACCTAAATTAGTACCAACGAAAATAGTTTGTAAGTGATCAAAATGAAATAAATGAATATTATTAGCATAAATGCTAAGAATACTTAAGTTTTACACTAACTATAACTTGATTCTTTCCTTTTTCATATCTTAAACCTTGGCTCTGATATTACTTTATGACACGCCCCAAGATTAAAATATAATACGACCATATTACTTTGAAATAAAACCTTAAAGCAATACAAATTATAATCCATAATCATTGAAAAATCCTCAACTAAAATAAGGTTCTCAATAAGTTTTAATATTTGTAAAATAACTAAATAACAAGTCTCAAAAGGTTCAATATCGAGTATTACAACTAAAAAAAACAATGCTTCATAAAATCCTATTCTCTAAGTAGTTTTTCAATGCTCAGATTCTTTTAGCTCCTCACAAGACTAATCATACTTATCATTCATATCATGTGTGAAAGAAAATAAAATGAGAAATAAGCAAACAACAGCTCAGCAAGTATAAGCTCACACACCTTGTCGGATCGAACATCGTTGTCATATGTACTATGTAAATCATTCTAAAAATAAACATCGTTTTCATACGTACTATATAAATCATTTCAAAAATATTCATCAAACCATAATGTCAAAAATAATTCAAAGATCAACATTCTGTCAAGTATTTCGTAGATCATGAATCAATATCAAAACATGCCACCAAATCATGGATCAATTTGTAAAAATCATCATAAATCATCATTATCATTAATTTATCATTAGCTACGATCACTGCTATAACTCGTGACATTGGTCATATCGATAATTTCATCCTTATGATCATTGTTAACTATTATAACCGACTAGCCAAGGCCTTACTCTAACTACTATAATCGATTAATAGGGCCATATGATCATGTCTATACTAACTACTATTACCCGTTAGCCAGGGCCGTAGAACTAGTTCTATTATCGATGATCCCATTTCTCAGGGATGTAAAAAACGTAGCTATCATAAAATCATTTTTTAAACATAAATAATTTTCTCATTTCATTCATAAGCATGATCCATTATTTATATAAAGAAACACAAAATAATCATATGCTTGATCATATTTTCATACATTGAAAATAATAAAATAAAACATTCATTTGTTTAGAAACATACAAATATACATATATTCAAAAACAAGTAAAATGTGTGAGATTCTACTTACTTTCTTTCAATTCTACCATTTAGTTTTTTCTCATAAATAATTAACGACCTATTCAAGATAATTTCAACATAACAGTAATTAATCAGCCCATTTTGAAATCAATTATATCAAAAACAATTAAGTTAAATAAGAGTTAACTCAACTAATTAATACTAACAGCCTAAGCTCTTTTTAGTAAAATAGTCATATCTCAAAATATTCAATTCAGAATTAAGATCTTTTTAATGCATTAGAAACTAGACTGGATAAGTTTTCTAACCATATATGGTCCATCTCATGATTTCTTGTAGATTAATTATAATAATTTTTACAATCTATGTCATATATTGTTGCTAAACAACCTTATATAACTTCTCATAAAAGTTACGAATTATTCATAGGAAACTCCAAATTCAATTCCGCTTCTTTCATTGGAAAGTAGACTCAATAAACTCTCCAAGCATATATTGTTTAATTCGCAATTCCTTGTATAAAAATTAAAAAGAATTTTGTAATTCCTCCTTGCTACTGCTTCTAGGCAACTTACACATCATTAAATAACTCATTTATTTCATTGGAAAGTAAATTCAGCAAGCTTTCCAATTATATATAATAATCACAGTAGTATTTTATCCCTTAGTACATAATATTATTTTAATCCATCATTGTAAATATTAAGGTTCATACGAAACAGAAATTTTTCTTTCTAACCCCGTCAAATTTCTGTTTCCTATTTTTACAAAAATAAAATCACATTACCAAACTTTCTCAACACTTAATTAGACCCTAATTAAAGTCTAAATGATTTGCCCAAACTAATCTTGAAAAGAGATAATGGATTTCCTAAAATTTTAAGGTTTCTTGATTACAAATTATACCTCAAAACTTAACAATCAGCATTATTTCTTTAAAATTACAAAAAATTACTTACTCACCTTTGATAGACAATTCTCCTTGTAGATTTTGTTATTACCTTTCACTTGTAATCCTTCGATTTATCTTTTCCATATAAGAGAAAGATGAGAACCAAGCTTTTATTTTTCTTTTGATTAGTTGTCGACGAAAAACAATAAAATAAGTTCTATTAAAAAATATTAGTTATTTGTCAATAAGTCCTATGCATTTCTCATTCTTTATTAAAGAGTCCCTCCACTTATAAACATACTTAAAAAATAATTCTTTTTTTTTTCAGTTATTACAAAAACCCTAATCGATCAAGATAATTCTTAACATTAATGTAAGCTCCATGATGAAGAGCATAAATCAGAAAAACAATTTCAAATCACGGGTTTTAAGAGCTAATATCCACAGGTGTAGACATGAATGATTCGTATAAAACTCACGAGCAAAAAGGTTGGAAAAGTTCCTAGAAGTACTATATTAAGTTGAAAATGCATATAAATAAGACAAGATTTTGAGGTTTCTGTGCTCCTGCAGTCACTGAGTGAAGAGATGCAGATAACTTTGAAGGGATCGAGCATGATACGCCCAGCTCAATACACGCCAAAACAAAGCCAATGGGTCTCAAATTTGGACCGGGTGATGACAATGTATCATTCCCCTTGGTGTACCTCTACAAACCAAATGGTTCTTCCGATTTCTTCAACTCCCACGTGCTTAAGGAGGCTTTAAACAAGACTCTGGTGCCATTTTACCCTATGGCTGGAAGGTTGGGAAGTGATGAAAATGGTAGGATCCAGATAATATGCAACGGAGAAGGAGCTTTGTTTATCGAAGCTGAAACTACTTCATCAATAGATAACTTTGGCGATTTTGCACCAAGCTCAAAACTTCGGCAACTAGTTCCAACAGTTAACTGCTCTGCAGATATCTCTACTCACCCGCTCGTTATATCCCAGGTAACTATTCACCAAACAAGAATGAAAAACCAGCATTCTATAGGCACTTAATTATACAAGGAGAAACTTTTGATACTCATATAAGTGTATTTTGCTAGGTAACTACTTTCAAATGCGGTAGGGTCTCTCTTGGAATTGGAATTCACCATACTTTGGCAGATGGCACATTTGTCTTTCATTTCATCAACAGCTGGTCTGAAATCGCACGAGGCTTAGTGTTGCACCAATTATTGACCGAACCCTTCTCCAAGCACGAGTGCCACCAATGCCTACATTTCACCATGTTGAATATGATCCATCCCCTTCCTTACACATCTATTTCAACCTCAGAATCTCATTCTCATCCTAAACCCTTATCGGTATCTACTTTTAGAATCACTAAAGATCAAATTCATACCTTAAAAGCTAAGTCAATCAAAATTGAAAATACCACCAAATATAGCACCCACAATATCCTAGCTGCACACGTATGGCGCTGTGCAAGCAAAGCACGAGGCCTAGTAGATGATCAACCAGCAAAGTTACACATACCAACTAATGGGCGATCCAGACTATGCCCTCCCCTCTCATCAGGCTACCTTGGCAATGTATTATTCACCACTGCATCAATTGCCTTATTTGGAAATCTCCAATCAGAACCATTTCCGAATACCATAAATAGGGTTAAGAAAGCAGTGGAGAGGATGGATAATGAATATCTAAGATCAGCTCTTGACTACCTAGGAAAACTGCCAAATGTAACCAGCGTTAGGCATGGAGCTCACACTTGGGAATGCCCAAACCTGTATATCATCAGTTCGATGCTATTGCCAGTATATGATGCAGATTTTGGATATGGTCATCCCATATATATGGGCCCAGCAAATATCGTTCACGAAGGAAAGATACACTTGCTTCCAAGTTCGACAGATGATGGGAGTTTGTCATTGGTAGCATGCCTACAGACCTCTCATGTGAAGCGTTTTCAAAATCATCTTTACCAGGGTTTAATGCCAATTGACAAAATAAAGCCTCGTTTTTAATTTTTAATTGTTATGATCCATCATAAATTATGTTATAAGTATCCTTTAGTCATTATTAATGAATAATTTTTGTCCTTACGAGTGAATTACCTTCCCCTTGTGTCAGATGCTCTTATTTCTCTTTTTCAGTTTGATATATATGTTTTCATTCAATTGAAGGAAAACCCATGTCTCCAGATTATCTCAAGTGATTGATTTTAAGAGCTGGTATCAGAAAATATGGCACCATAGGCAGATGAGATCGGAAGCTATTAGCCTTTTACTAGAAAACCTAATCTTGAAGAGTAGCACAAAATTTGAATTGACTTTATGCCCAGAACACATCAAAAATAGAGTTGAGAAAGCATATATCACATGAGATTTTAAGGTTTCTGTGGTCGCTGCAGTCATTGAAGAGATGGAGATTATTGTAAAAGGATCGAGCATGATATGGCCGCTCAAGAAACGCCAAAAGAAAGCCAATGGATCTCAAATTTGGACATGGCGATGACAACGTATCATGTCCCCAAGCAGTACTTCTACAAACCAAATGGTTTGTCCGATTTCTTTAGACCCCAAGTGCTTGAGGTGGCTTTATGCAAGACTCTTGTGCCATTCTACCCTAAGGCTGGAAGGTTGGGAAGTGATGAAAATGCTAGACTTAAAAGATAATGTGCAATGCAAAGGGAGTTCTATGGATAGAAGCTGAAACTACTTCCAACGGCAAATGTTGTCCATGAAGGAAAAATATACCTACTACCAAGTTCAACCAATGATCGGAGCTTGTCATTGGCGCACGCATTTTACCCACAATTCATATTACTACAATCTTATAATCATGCAATCACAATAAAAAATTATATTAAAACTCACCGCTTACAAGTGTAGGCTCCATATAAAATTTTGATGGACCCATATATTCTAAACTGTGATTGGTTAATTATAATGTAATGATTGTAAATGATATGTTTCCTTGTCATTGGTAGCATGCTTAGAGACCTCTTATATGAAACTTTTCCAGAAACATCTTTACTAAGGCTTAATGCATTTGACAAATAAAGGCTCGATATTAGTTTTTTGTTCTCTCTATCAATATGTAACCTATAAAGCTGCTTCTTTTTTCCTTTAACTAAACTTTTTTGTTCGAATCCTTCTTAATTAAATTTAAATACCTTGAATTCCCCATCCCTAGCTTGGAAGGATCACACATCATCCTAAGGTAGCTAGACAACTTTCATAGTATTACAATTCTAATTTCGACCTCCTTTATTTTACCGTTTTTGGATGGTGACAAACCCAAGCCTGGGAAAGAAACACAAATTCTAAATGCCCATTCAGCAATAGAAGCTTACATTTGATCAAGAATTACAGTGAAGTTAAACACAAATCTAGCTTATTATAGCATTATTTTTCATGGCCTATGTCAATTCAAAATAGGTTCATTGGCTATTTCTTTTTTCCCTTTCAGAGATCAAACAATGGACAAAGGGGAAACTAGTGATAGGGAAAATAAGTATTACATTACAACGAATTGAGCAAAACACCATGTCATCATACAATCAAACATGAACAGATGATTCATAATACGGTAATACACAAATAGTAAAGCAAAGCGATTGAGAGCATGTTCCTTTTTCTTTCTCCTAGATTCGAAAAACATCAGTTTGAAACCTCTCATCATACAACCTCCAATGCCCATATCTCTCAGCATGAAAAACTGACCTGGGTATATAAAAATTCGGCTTCTTCACCTCCTTCAAATCCTTCAAATTCGATGTCGCATTGACAATATCCCGACTAGTCAATTTAGCACACCCAGACAAATCCAAGTACTCAAGTTTCAAACACCCTTCACAAATCGAACCAAGACCTTTAGCTGATAACTTGGAAAATCTAATTTCAAGTTGCTCCAATTGAGGCATAAATTTCCCAATCGCAGCTGCTTCTGTATCCCCATCTTGTGGACAAGCATTTAGATAATAATCGGGAACGATTCCCACGTGTTGCGATGGGTCTAACCAATTCATCAGGTTCCTTTTTAAAACCTTTAGGTTGGGACAATTCCGACCTATTAACACCAGAGATTCGTGTGAGATTTCATAGCAGTAACTGATGTCGAGTTGTTTAAGGTTCCGACAATGATACGCTATTTGAGCCATCGAGGCATCGGTCACGCGGGGACAGGTTTTTATAGAAAGAACTTGGAGATTTGGACACCTGGCAAATGTTTAGAAAAATCAAAGATGAAAATTGAAGCGAAAATGTAAAATCTGGAAATGGTGTCGCAAATGAGATACCTTTGAGCGGCCAGATTGATAGAGTCATCCGAGCAATGACGGGTAAGAATCTTGGTTAGATTGCCGTTGCTCCAGGAGATGACGGATCGGAGCATGGAGTCGATTCTTCTTTCAAACTCGGTGGTCCACCAGCGGGTTGACTCGGTGGAGGAATCGAACCGAGTTTCGAGATCGAACACGGAGTTTAGAGAAGGATCCTTGCAGGCGTTGAGCCATGGTTTGCATACAAGCAAAGGGCCTGTCCATCGGTGCTCGAAAGTGAGTCGAGAAAGGATGTTGATGAGGCACTCGAGGGTTAACTCGGCCCAATCGGAGATGAGCACGGACTCGGTGTCTGATTCCCCTGTTCCTTCTTTGCCCTCCATGTTAGAACGCTTGTTTTGGGAAGCACCGAATACCGTTTCCCTCTTACGTTAAAAGAAAAGAGTTTTGTTGATAACGAATTGGATAATATGGTAATTTCATTGGAAAATACGTGTTCGCCTTTTTTATTTTTTTCCTTCAAAGCAAACGTACATGGATTTCTTCAAAAAATATTCCTAATAAGTAGTGCCTTACAGTATAAGTTTTCTTCAATGAGATTAGGAACAGAAATTCCAACAAGTTCAATTGAAATTTCAACAAGGGTGATTTGTCAAATCACCTGAGTCGCAATGCCCAAAGGGGTATTGTTCTTCTTGGAGTAGATGAGAGAGAGGAGTGCAAATTTTAGTCATTTGATTAAAGTTTCTCTTTTGACATGCCTCACCAATATATTGGTTAAACTACTTTCCTTCCCCCATAACCAACGAATATTGGATTGCTGGAGGCCCAACCGGCTATCACATATAACATTCATCATATATGACTATACTTTGTTCAGTCATAATTCATACCAATAATGACTCATTTCTCGTAATTCATACCAATATTGAGTCACTTCCTACTTTCCCCAACTTACACCTTTGTTCACCTTCGGCATATGTCTAACAGCAATTACGAGAGTTATTGTTACATTATACAGATTCGAGACAATGCACACAAGCTACTGAAACAAATATGAAGAGCAACTGTGTGCAATTCGTTAGACACAACTGCATTTGACAAACTTGACAAAGTGCCGAGAGGCCATTAAAATAAGCAGACAAGTTTTTGTGTTAAGGCATAGACAAAGGCACAGACTGTAGCTAACTCAACCAGTAAGAAGAGTAGAAGAGTAAAAACTACAACTACAAAGATGGAAATTATAATGTGAATGGTCATTCAGAAGAGGCCAGTAGATTGTTAAAACTTCACATTAAACTAAACTGCTATCATATATGTGAACTCAAATTGTGGGAGCAAGAACAACAATGAATAGGAATCTTGCATTCTTGGATTAGATATCTACTTGAGCCTAGTTTTCTCACATATCTGCATCAATTCTGGTCACAGAGGATCCAAAAGATTGATACTTTATGTAGTTTAGACATTAATTCCAATTGGAAGTTGTGATAACACAGGGAATACTAAATACACTGAACTAAAGCTCAAAGGTTTTCTGGGAAGAAGCAGATTGACAACTTCCAGTTTCCAAGTTCAGCCAAGTTCCCAGCCAATTGCTCTCCATCCATAGATGTTTATTTCAAAATAAAAACTACACACCAATACCACGTCTTTAAGAGTTAAGACATCGAATCAAATCCAAGGAAAAACAATCTAATGTTTTTAATTGTAGCTTATGACAAAATACAAAGTACTCCACTTCTAACTAATAAACCTAGAACCAAATCAGAACAATAACTACTTTCAGACAGGGATTGAGTATGAGACCTAACCTCTCCTGTATCCTGATCCTAACAACAATGCCAAGTAGTAGCTAGTACTTCTATTAAAGGGTATGCAGCAGATCAACTACCTCATCATGTTTCTTCATACAGCATTAGATATATGGTTAGTGCAATACCACCAAAAGTGAATTTGCATTAAGTTAAAATGAAGTAATCAAGAACTACCAAGACCAAAAAACCATTATAATAGCATAACATCAAGATCAATTAAAGAGTGCGCAACACATCAATATCGAGTCAAATTAAACACAATGGGAAAGAGTTTCAACATAATCATCATATTCATATTACAGCAAAGGAGGGAGAGATAACAAAAGAAGACTAGGCACTGGAATAATAAAGTGGACGCCTGTACTCATCAAAGTACTCATCGCGATCCACAAAAACAATGGCATACAGAGCATAGATTATCCCAGGAACATATCCCAGAATAGTTAACAGCAGACAAATGCAGAACTCAACCTGAAAAAATCATCAAAACCCAGAATTTATTAGATCAAAATATCAAAACCTCAACTTAAAACAAAACAATTTATTAACAGATCATGTGGTCAGAAAATTGTACTTACGCTGCAACAACCATGCCTTAAGCAAACCCCCAAAGGAGGGAGCAAAACCGCGATGAGTAGTTCACAACAAATTTCGCAGCGAGAAGGCATGTCGCCGGTGATGTGAAGATCGAAGTGATTAACTAAGAAAGCAGAAAAAAGGAACCCTTTTATCCAAGACTTTTGAGATTGGATATTCTTAATGAAGAAGAAAACAAAGGAGATTTTATCGTGGCGTGGGAAATTTCAAGGGAAAGAAAAATAATAAACAATGCCCTTGATTCCAACCAACTAATCTGAGCCGTCCATTTTTCTGTGACTGGTTAAATAAACGGTTGTGATTACTCCAAAGTGTGATCACGTGCTCTTTTCGCTGGACCCACATTTTGGTTGGATTGATTGAGAAGTTGGGTGGACGAGCTGTAGCCCATAAGGCCCACAAAGAAAGGACTTCAGGGTGGGTTGTTAGCCCCTTTTCTTATGAAAAAAACTCTAAATCCAAAAAAATATATATTTAATCTAGCTTATAACTTGTGCAATGGATGCATAGTTTAATTTATATATTTAAATACATATAAAAAATATAGTATTATTTACAAAGTTATATCAAGTTCTTCAATATTTATAACATATATATATTATATATATAATTGACATCTCATAAAAATTAAATTTTTACAAGAAAATTAAATGTATTTTATTTTGAAAATAATTAGTCATAGCTAATTTTTCTTTTAATGATTCTAAAAAATATCTCATCTCATCACTATTATAATCTAACTCAAAATCATGAAATAAAATAAATAATAGATGTGTATCAAAATACAAGAAAAATATAATTGACATCATAAAATAAATATTCATACATCTTCAATCATGCGTTCTTAATCAAATTGCTACAAAATTTTAAAACAATTAGTAAATATCTATAGAGAAAAAAAAAAAGATTACTTAAGAAAAAAAATAACTTTGAAAGAAAAGTTACAAATAGTATTAATATTGGATGGTAATTAGGATATTTATATGTATATTTCAAAATTGATAAGTATTTTTTAATTTTAAAATATGTTATGTTAAAAAAAACAAATATTAAAGGATTATATGAAAATTTATAAAGATAAATATCATATTTTAGAAATTTGAATTTAGATATCTTTTATTGATTTAATTTGTATTTTTTTTTTTAAGTTTCAAATTATTATTTCACCTTATTTTTTATTTTAAAAGACTAGCATGTATCTTTTCATGTAATCAACTTATAATCTTTTTTTTTTTGTTTATCATCCATTTTTATATTGAAAATTGATTAATTTAAATTATATAAATTTAAGTATTTTCAATTTTTAAATTTAAAGATTTGATGTTTTCTTTTAATTTGTAATTACATAATAATTTTTTATATCATCATTTGTATAAAAATATATAAAGCATTACATATCTTATTAGGTATTCATATATTTTATAATACACGCATATATAATGATCCTCCTAAACCATTTTAAAGTAATTGATTTTTTAATTAATTAATAAAACACTTGTTTTGTTTAATTCATTAAAGAAAAACCTTCATTTTAAAAAATACATGACTTTCATGTTTAAAAAAATTGATTTTCAATATTTACAATTTTTTTTATTTTCTCATAAGTATTGATTTTTGTTTTACAAAAAGTTTATTAACCTAAGTTTATAAATTAAAAATCATTTAGTTATTATATTAAATTTTGTATATTTAGTTCACCACAATTATTAATTAAAAATTATTATATTAATTATATTTTTAAATATTCTTTAATAATTAACCAATTTTGACCATACATATTAATTATGGAGTGTTATTGATTTTTATTAAGCTTAAATTTTTTTTAATTTTAATGTATTTAATATTAAAATTTAAAATTTTTATAAAATTAAAATTTTATGATTTTTAATGTAAAACAAAATTAAAAATTTTTAAATATAAAAAAATTAGATAAAAAATAATTTGAAGACAAAAAATATATTAAAAAATGAAAGAGTAATATTTTACATAAAAAATTAAAATAAATATATTTTGATTGATACTTTTATGGAGTATTCGATTCGAGAGAATCTATGCGTTTTTCTTCGAAATTTTACTAGTGAATATTTAATTATAATATTTGGTTTAAAGTAATTTGATTCAAAAGGAAAGTAACAAATTCTTAATAATACCAAACATATCAGAATAAGGAACCCACCTAACAAATTTCCATTATAATACAAAACTCACGTATTCCTATAGTATTTTAGAATTTTGAAATGAAAAGTTATGTTGTTTTCAAATTTGACTTAAATAAAAAATTAAAAAATAATTGTTATCATTTTAAAATGCATGTGTGAAAGTAACTATAAATCAATTTGTAGGTTTATGCTATTAAGATTTTTTTATATTGTAATTAATGGCGTTTAGCATGAAAAACATTTTAAATAATTCACTTCAAATTTTTTAGATTATTTATGACATTTTTAGTTAAAAATATCTTAAATAATTTTTAAAAAAATTGACTAGCATTATTTAAAACAATTGTTGGCAAAAAATTTCTTAAATAATAAAAAAAATCTTATAAGTAATCATAAAAAAAAAGGACTAAAAGGAGAAATCCAACATACGATCTTATAATTAATAATTATATACTCTAACTAATTGAACTATTTTAATTCTTTTATATTTTATCTATTGAATTTATAAGTAATTAAAGGGATTATTTAATATATTTTTAATAAAAAATATTTTAAATAATGCCATTCAAAAACATTACAGGGTTAAAGGAAAAGTTTAAACCTACAACCTTATAATTGATAATCATATACTACGACCGATTAAGCTATTTTAATTTTTTTATATTTATCTCTTAAATTTTATAAGTAATAAAAGAAATTATTTAAGATATTTTTTATTAAAAATATATATTTTTAAAAGTATTATTTAATGTATTTTTTTATAAAAAATATCTTAAATAATTCATTCTTATTTTTAAATAATATTTATTTAAGATGCTTTCGAATAAAAATATTTTAAATAATCTCTTTAAAAAAAATAAATTATTTAAGATGTTTTTTAATCAGAAACCTCTTAAATAATTTTTTATTAATAATATTTTATAAATAAAAATAACAATCAAATAAAATATTTATTTTTTTATTATTAAACATATCATTTGTTGTTTTGATATTTATTATTAATAAAAATTAATAAATAATTATAATAATTATTTAAAAATTAATATATGTAAAAAATTTTAATTAAATAAATAAATTTGAATATAAAATATCTTAAAAATTAAAAAAATCAAGTATCATAAAATTTTAAAAGTTATATTTTATTTTATAATTAAAATTTCACGAACCAATGAAAAAAAGGACGTGACAAATTATAATTGGCACTTAGATTCCTCCACACGTATGTCCTCACCTGCCCAAAACATTAAAAAACTCTGTCCGTGCGAAACACTCTGCCCAAAGTTCTCACAGTGTCTCATTTCAAGTACTGCCCGGGAAAAAAACTTTTTACACCACCCCACTCTGCTTCGCTGCCCAGCCCCGGCCCTCTGCTCAATTCCCCCGCTTTTTAAACATTTTGCCCACGCGCCTCAACAGCGCCTACCACAAACGAACACATTTTCTTTTGAACCTTTTCAATTTCGATGTTTCTCTCTCACTGTACTGGAAAGCAAAAACCCCTCACTCAGAGAGAAAAACTAAAATTTTCCAAATGGAATTCAAATTCAGAGCGGTCGATAAACGGCAGCCAAATTATTTTCTTCCTTCTTCGTCGAGCTTCAATCCCTCGTCGGGTCAAGGAATTCGACCCAATCCTAACTTTAACCGAAACCGACCCGACTCGATCCAGTGGGAATTAGAGAAGGCACAAATAAGGGAAGAGATAATCGCGTCGGAAATGGCGCGTCGGAGAGCCTTAGAAGCCGAAGTGAGAAGAGAGTTGATGGCGGAGAGGGAGATGGCCGCCTGGCATAGAGCCAGGGAAACGAGTTTACCTTTCGAACACATGCTCACAGTGCGGCTCGACCCTAGGCTTCCTTTCATGCATCACCACTTCAATAACCACCACCGCTGGCGGCCTGAGCAGTCTTTCAATTTGTTTCCACCGCCGCCGCTGCCCATGATGCCGCCACAGTTGACGGAGATTTTGGACTCTGAGGTTAAGGATACTTCGGAGGGAAACAAGAATAAATTGATTATACTGGTAAGCCTTTGAATTAGTACATTCAACAAAATGTTTCATCATCCGAAAAGGAGTCTTTTTTTTTTAATTCGAAGTTTAAAGCCATAAGATTGAACAAACTTCATATACACACTAGTTTCTCATGAAAGAATCTAACCCTTTTGCCTAAATGATTTGGGTCGTTTAAGTAGCCAATTAAATGAAAGCCTTCGAAATCATAAGCTAATGTTGAGGTTTTACTTTTTCTGTGCTTGTACATTAGTTTAATGGCAATTTAGTTCTGTTGCTTGTGTTGTTTTGCCTTTGATGATGTTGCTATTGGTACAAGGCATGCATCTAGGCTTGCTATCAATGCATATGGTTAACCCTTTCACTTGTCAACCGGGGCAATTCAGAAGTTAGTCCTAATGGGGCATTGCAGTCATTGATCAGGAGGGTATTTTTCCTAGATTGCTTAGCCGCTGTTACTGAGTGTGACATCATATTGTAGCAACTTATTGGGGAGTATCATAGATTGATAATGGATTTGCTGTTCCCTTAGGTACAGCTTTCTCATGTCGTGGTTACATATAGCATCCGGCTTACAATAATGTGGGACTCATTGTCCACCATTGTTGTGAGAGGATAGTTGTATGCGCCCATGACAAGTGAATAAGTGATGTTATTTCTTTGAGAATGCTATCTTGTGTTTTTGTATAAAACCTTTATGCTTCCCCTCTGTTAAGTTATGTGGTATCCTGTAGCAATGGAATCTCCATACTCCACTTGTACCAGATTTGTTCATGCATATGCATGTACACTTCTACTGACTTTACTTATCATTTTTTTGAGACCTCAATGCAACTTCATCTGGCTTTGATAATCAAGTTGGCTGCTTCAAAAGTTTCTTATGGCATTAGAGAAACCAAGCCATTTTGCTGTTCCATGATTGAACTGCTAGATTTAGATGATGGAAGAATGGCTAAATGACATTATTTTTGCTTGGGGTTGTGATAATGGCATTTTAATACGGTTTTGTTGTTGTTGGAATTTGTTGTAGAACCATCTAAACTTGATTTGGATTTAGTTTATGTTGTTATACACAGATTAATTGGTTTTACTTTGCCTTCATCAGTTGCCTTCATCAGCTGCCTTCATCAGCATGCATATACGCATATGTTTATATGCATGTGTGCCCCTAACTTTCTTCATGGATCATATAAAAATGTTTAGAAGTGCTATAATTTTTGCATGGAACTTTCCGCAATCTCTGTTACTTTGAATCTCGGTATTAAGCTCTTATCAATTTTTGTTAGCTCTGTTCGCGCCAAGAAAAAAAAAGGTATATCATCTCACATGATTGATGACTTACTGTCTCTGAGGATAAATGCTTCATTTTGAGACTGATTCAGTTAAAGTAAGATAGTAGAAAATTAAATTTCTCCTTAATTGAAAAGGCAGAGGGTGGAGTGATTGACCCTTCTGGTTATGTATTCTTCTTTGAGTATCCCATTGCAGGCTAAGCCTGATCCTAATCGTGTTGTTGGAGCAAAGAGGAAAACACCACCTCCAGCAGGCACTGGTGAACTGCCTCTGCCTTTAATTAGTTTGAAGAAGATACCCAACGAGGAGTGGAGTTGTGCCATTTGTCAGGTCAGCGCCACAAGTGAGAAAGGTTTGATTGAACACCTTCAAGGTAGGAAGCACAAGGCTAAGGAAGCAAGACTAAGAGCTGAGAGAATGGAGAAAAGTTCCAATACCAATACCACAACATTGCCAAAAAAACCCAGACTGCCGCAACTTAATAAAAATATGGATGGTTCAGACCAGAAATTGGAGGATAGAGAAAAGTTAAAGAATAAAAAGGATGAACTGCTGATTAAGAGAGAGAAGAAGGCAGAAAGGTTTAGGAAGAAACATGGACCAATGCAGGTGGAGAGGACACCAGAACTTAGTAAAAAGGAGAAATATAAGTTTTGGTGTCAAATGTGTTTGGTTGGTGCGCATTCTGAGGTTGTAATGGAAGCTCATAAAAAGGGGAAGAGGCATATTGCTCGACTCCTGGATCTTGACGAAAATAATGCAGCTGCCCCTGCTACCTCCACCAACAATAAAGTCACTGAGCTGGCAAGATTTGATGGTAGTCAGATGCCAAAAGTCACTGATGTGGTGGTCGATGAAGCAAATGAGAAGATAACGAATGCTCCAGGGTCTGTTAGTTCTAAATTTTGGTGTCAAATGTGTTTATTTGGTGCACAATCTGAGGTGGTACTGGAAACTCATAAAAAGGGGAAGAGGCACATTGCTCGACTTCTGGAACTTGATGAAAATAGAGCAGCTGCCCCTGCTACCTCAACCATTAATACAATCACTGAGCAGGCAAGATTAGATGGCGTTCAGATGCCCAAAGTCGCTGATGTGGTAGCTGACAAAGCAAATGAGAAGCTAATGGATGTTCCAGAAGCTGATGGTTATAACCTATCACCTGTTGTAAGTTGATTGTCAAAACCGTAGACAAAACCCACTCTCCGGATTTGTGTTGGGAGCTCTGAAAATTGCTCTCTCTATCTTTTGTACTGTCTGAAACTTTTAATTAGATGTTGGTATTTTAGCTGAAATCCAATATTTAATGAGGTGCACCCAAGATTGAGTAATTGCTTTGATACCAAGGATTTAGAGTAAAAATGCCATTCATTAATTTGACCTTGCCGCACCTTTGAAATTGCAGATAACTTAGCAAAAAGCTGGAAAGCGGCACGCTTGCATCGAGTACCAATGCTTTCCAACAGGTGTGCAACTGGTAAGTCTCCAAGAAATTTCAGTGGTATTTCTACCGACAGTTACCAGGTCCCTAATGAAACAAGTATAGTAGAATGCTAGATTCTTGCAACTCTTTTAACAACCAGATGCCAAATTTCATGTTCATATTGATAGAGAAACCTATGACAGTAAAGCAGTTTGGAAGCCTTTAATTACCTTAACAAAGGATGGCAAATAACATCCCTGTCCGACGTTCTATTGCGGAATCACATTCTGTTCCTGGAGGGTGCATGAATTGAGACTTAACCTAACACCCAAGCTTCCTTTCTTTTGTGACATTTGAACTAACTTCACCGTGCAATTTGGCATTAGTTTGTGTTTGCGTTTGCTTCAGGAACTTGGTGAGGACCCACAACCCTGGATATTGTGGATCTGTGTTTGCATTCTGATCCTAAGCGACAACAACTTCCAGCCTACTCCAAATACCCATTTCATGCATTAAAGACGGAGCAGCCGGCACCTTCCGTTGCTTAGCAAAATGTAAACTAGGAGGCTAAGGAACAAATTTTGGAATCTTTCAACAAATCATTCACACCATAAATAATTGCAAGGTACCAAACTGCTTCTCAATTACTCCGACCAAACAAGAGCAACATTCATTTGTCATGATACAAGTCGACAACAATTTCTGTAAGAACATATCTGATCTAAGCACCAATTTTGATATTTATCTTTATAAACTAAACATATGCAACTATATTTTCTTTACAAGAGAGGAAAAAAAAAAGAAGATAACAGAACATAGATCAATTAAAAAAAGGAGGGAAGCAAGCTCAACTCACAGGTCCCAACCACCAACCCCTCCAAACTAAGCACGTCTATTACAAGTAGAGTAAGAGACTTAAACCCTCAATGCCACCTGATCTTGCCATGAGATCTTTCTTTTCCCAACTCTGTTTGGCCCATTTCCGGTGTTCCTGCAGGCTGATATTTTAATATCATTGTGCTGCTCATCACTTCCAATTTTGATTGAACTTTTCTTGAATTCCTCTATTCTAGCTGAATTATCGTTAGCCTGTAGTTCTTCCTCCTCTCTCTGCAATGGAAGAAAATTTAGGCAACATAAGCTTATGATATAAGATTATAGCATGCAAATTTTAATGACAATAACTCATAATAAATACAAATAGATTACCGAAATCTGGTTTAAATCAAAAATTGGTGTCACGCTTCGAGCAGTTGCCTCCTTTCCACTATAAAGCCTTTCCCTCTGGTTTAAGTCAAGAACTGGTAAAGAACTTCGCAAAGCAGCTTCTTCCTTTACACTGAAAATTTTCTGCTGTTTCTGGTTTAAGTCAAACATCAGAGAAGGATGAGTGAAAGTGGTTTCCTTTTCACCGTAAGCCTTTCCCTTTTGGTTCAAGTCAAAACCTGTAGCTAGGCGTCGCAAAGTATGTTCCTTTCTAGTTGATTTCTTTTCCTTCATACTTGATTTACTTCTGATCACCATATTCTGTGGTTGCACAAAGTTTCGACTAGCTGGGGTGTTTGAAGATTGGTTTTGCATCAAGAACTTGTGCCTCCGTTTCAAAAACCTAAGAACAAAAAAAATATGGTCAACACTCAAAATATTAACTCTATATCAATAGTTGTGATTATAAAATTATACAAATCCAACAAATTTAAGAAGGAACAAGATCATACCGGACTTCAGCCAACAGAGTCAATTTTTGCTCTTTCATCATCTGCAACTTCTTTCTAATGGACTCCGTTTCCTGAAAAACACAACACGCATAAACATTAGTTAAGAATATACTCAGGGCTTAAGGTGAGTGTATGAACAAACTAACAATAACATAAATAATCAAAAGCTGTTAAATTTTGAAAAAAGCAAATTAGCCCTCAATTTTTTTTCTTTATTTATCTTCCAGGGAGGTGGGTTTGAATGTATTGCCCTTTTGTAGTTTGTGCGATAACATGAGTAGTTCTTAATAGTATAAAAAAAAATCTCTATAGAAGAACTACAGGATTTAGGTGGACAACAATCAATAATTGTATTATCAAACCTTGCAATAAACGAAAAATTACATAGCATCACCTTGATCAATCAAACCAAAGAAAGCTCACTGGATCGAAAGACTTAAAGAGTAGCTATTTTTAATTTATTTGTTAGGTTTCACAACTGCCCATATAACAAAGGTAGAAAGATATTCATGGCAAACAGCATAGAAAATTTAGAAAATTTAAGGAAAAAGGGAAAACTTCATTGTGTTCAGTAAGAAAGTGGGGAAATATCCACTTACAACAGCCAAAAGTTTTTATTTCCTCATTTTTTAGCTCATCAAAAACAGAAACAAGGGCCTAAAACGCAAAAGTCTGACAATACCACATACAAAAAAGGGATCATTCCCTAGCTTGGATGAGGTAAGATCTCCATCAACTGGAGACCAAGATATAACATCCAAATAATCATATCCTCTCCTTATTCTCATCATAAATTAAGAAAACCCCAGAGGATTACAAACACCAGATCTAATGAAATCTGACGAAAGTAACTACAAATCCAAAAAATTCGCAAAAAATTATTACCATGTGCAAGTCTTCAAAGTCTTGCATAAGGCTTTGGTGCTTGAACCTGGTCCTCTGGTCCTCATATATGGCATATGGAGAATACTCCATAGCAGCAGCAACCCCTTTCATCTTCTTCATATTTCAGATCACAGGGGCGAGATTAAGAGAAGACCCCGAAAGGCCAAAAGAAGGAAATATGGAGGAAGAGAAAGAGACAAAGGGGAGAAAGAAGAGTATTTGAAGAGAAGGAAGAAAGATAAGGGCAAGAAATAATAGAAGGAAAGAATAAGTGTAGAGAGAGATAAGAGAAAGATAAACAAGAAAAGAGAGAGAAATAGAGAGAGAGAGAGAGGAAGGTTCTCGCTTTCCTGTTTACCCTGTGAAAAACTCTGACCGAGACAAAGAAAACCCAAAGAAGCCCACATAACTCGGTGAAAAAAATGTTTCTTTTGAGAGTTGAGACAGTGATGAAGATAGGATTTTTTGGGGCGTTGCAGAAGGGTATTTCCGGTAAACATGCTTTTAATTGGTTTTGTGAAAGAGAGAGAGGTTTTTGTGAGGTGGGTTTGGTTGGAGGACATTTGAAGACATCTATCTTCTCTTTCTTTCCCGTTCTCTCTCTATCTTTCCTTTCTTTTTTTTTTTTGTTTTTCTTCTACATAAATTTTGGTCCAGCTGGGCCATTGAAGAAAGAGAGAGAAAGAGAGAGTTGGGTGGTGTGTGGACTCTTCTTTGATTTTGAAGCGGGTGCGTGGAGTTTCCATGTTTCTTCTTTTCTTTGTTTTTGGTGTGTTTTTCCCCTGTGTAGAGAGAGAAAGGCAAGTAATTTTTTTTCTCTTAGAAAGAGAAAGAAAGAGAGATATAGGCTTTGATACGAGAAGGGTGGGCTGAAAAAAGCAGGAGGATAAAATAGGATGATGCTGTTTTCTGATGTGTTGTTGTTGTTGTTGCTGGTGCTGGAGTTTCAGCTGTTGGAGGTACCTTATTTTTAGGCTTTGGCTTGTGGCGTGATCAGTGATGATAAATTTCAACGAGAAAGAGATGCTTTTCATTCCACATTATTATACTGCAGGCCCATTGCTATAAATTTCCTAACATACCCTTCACATTCCTTTCCTTTCAAGCATGCTTCCCCCGGCCCATCTACTCTTTAAGTTATTTTTTACGTCCACACCTTTCTAAAGTCATCTGTTTAAAAGAAGGTAATAAACCAAAATTGCCAGTCAACCTGTGTGCGTGGACAGGATGAAATCCGAGTTGCAGGCTTGCCTGAGTTGTTCCCCTGGCATTAGGGTTAAACTAGTAATATAATGCACCAACCTTTTCCCCATTCACATCTACAGGTCTACCCACCTAATCCTGGAATCCGGACACCATCCTATCTTCCTAGCCATCAAAACAAGCAGTAGTTTCATGCCCTTTGTAAATGCTGGAAAGTGGAAACGAACAAACTTGATGACTTAAGAATCCCGACCCCTATTCCCATATTTTCTCTACACTGTGTCCTCTTTTATCTGCAAGATTGCATAGTCGACATTGATGACTACCAATAAACATAAAATCCTCATTTAAATTCCCTATTTTCGTGAAAGTGGGGGAGGGTATCTTGGTAAAATAAGGTTCAATTAGGTTTTAGTGGTACAGTAGCACAATGAATAGTGAAAACTAAAAACTCACCAACCATGGTGAAGCGCGCAACTCTTCTGTTACAGACCTTTGAATAGCTTAACAAAGCTAAAGCGATGGTGAAAAAGAGAGAGGAAAAAGCTGCTGCGGGGGACTCTCTTGAAGTTGTTTCCCTTCTGTCGGTGACCTGGTTCTTACTATTTACTGTTCCTTTAAAATTTTGAAACTGATAAAAAAGATACAAGCATATGTATGATGCATGTGAATGTTTTAAAGTGAGGGATGGTTTGGCTGTATTAAATTACTGTCAGTTTTCAGGGAGGTCCGAGAGCTCTACCTTCCTTGCCAATCTCTCTCTCTTTCCCATTTCAAGGAATTTCCATTAGTAATTAATTCCTTGCACATACGTGGGATGTTATCTGATATGGACATGTGAGGGTGAAATTGAACAAATTTCCGGACAATTCTTCCATTTGGCAATGCATTTCCCGTAAAGATTAAGATTTGACACCCATCTAGGAAATAAACATATCAGCTTATCACTTATGGAATGCACTCTCCATGGTCATATTACTGTTAAGCAACCTAATTTCTTTGAAGAGAGTTCTGATGCTTTCTTTAATCAGTTTTGAGTAGGCCTTTATTCTGCAGTTTCAAAATCCAAATGTCCATGTGAAACAATCACTTGCCAATATGTCAAAAGTTAACAAGTGGATGACCAAAAAAGTTGAAAAAAAAGTACTTTATGTTCCTCTAATTGTCTCAACTGTTTAAGCAGATTTTTGCTTTCTTCTGTTAAACTGTTTGAAGCAATGGGCTAGTAAGCATGCACTTTCTGAACCTTTTTTTTTTTTTGGCTAAAATCAAGTATCGGTATCTTTGCTTATGAGTTAAGCCAGTGGGCCATTAAATGACAGAAACAGAAGCAAAGTGGCCACTTCCACCATTGACGACTTGTAGTGCTTATTATTACTGTTTACAAATCAGAATTGGTTTTTCACTTTGTTAATTTGCAAATCAAAAGTGAAAGACATGATTGTGAGATCTGAGATGAGAAATACTGAAATTGCCTATTTACATATAGTTGACCTTAAAAAGTGAATACAATAGTAATTTCCTCTTAAGCAGGGTTTCACAACGACCATGACTCTTTGGTTTGAACTTGTTCCAGAGTTTGGAACAAGTCAAGTAGCCCACTTTTGTTGAATGCTCACTATTTGCGGTCTCTATGGAAAGCTCAAACTGACAAGGAACTGAAAGAAAAAAAATGCTATGGTAAATGACTGACCAAAACTTGTACTGACAACATAACATGTACCGTTTCTTTATCTAGAAACATTAAAACAGATACTTAGAACATGTCTGCAAGAACTTTAGATATACTAATTCATAGTAAAGTGATTGAATATCTGAAGTCAAAGTAAAATGGGATGAGAGAAATAAGTCTTGAAATCAGAATTATTTTGTTAATCAGCACCTTTGTTAAACCAACCACCAATACCAAACCCGTTTGCTGATTTTAACCATTCCTCCAAAGTTCAACTCCCGATGACTTGAAATACTAAAGGAAGCTTTAATTCAGACATGGGCTGCATGCTACTACACTAGTTTCCATCTATAAATGGAGTATCAAATTGGCTTGGGCCTTTTCTACTTGGGTTGAAACTATGAAAAGTAAACAACAATAGCCATTTTCAATTAGAAACCATCTCGAAGGCCCAATAAATTGATTTGGGCCTGACAATCTCAACAATAACGTGTCTTCCTCTTATTAGTCGCCTTGAAAACATGTACAAACTCCAAGAGCAGAAAAATCTGAACACCGAAAACGAAAAGAGAAAGAAAACCCTTTTTTTTTTTTTTTTGGATAAGTGATAAAAAACCGCACTTTATGGTTGTGAAATCTCTCTTTCTGTCTGTAGTCCACAGAAATATCTGAAAGTTTTCTAAGTGAAGAGAACCTGCCGAAGCAATGGCTTCAACAGGTGCCGTGACTGCTCAAATATCAAATCTACATGGAGCCACTGATTGGAAGAAGCCCACTCCTACACTGTCCCTTGGTAACTCTCTCCCTCTCTGTTTGGTTGCTGAGAAAATAGAGGATCAGACTAGACCATATCAAAGGTTTTTATTCTGTTTTGTGGGTTTGTTCTTGTGCTTGTTTTTAGAAGAAATGGAGTATCAGCGTTGCTGAAATAGTTGTATTGGTTCCCATTTAATAGGGTATTTTTCTTTTAACAAAAAGGTGTGAACTTTCAATTACCCTTTTCACTTTTTATTAAGTAGAAATAGAAATTTTCTCAGTAACCAAACCTAAGAATGTTTGATTTTATGTGCTTTTCTTTTTATTTTCACTTTTATTTCTATGTATAGCAAATGGTTAAGTTGGTATTAAGGAAAATTTACAAATTTCAGAATTTAAATGCTTAATTTCAGGGGACCAGAATTGTATATGTAAATCTACTTCCTATTTAACATTTGGGTGTTTATCTGCACTTTTGCCCCGTCAATTATAATTAATGGATTGTAATTTGTTTTTCTCCTGACGGTTTTCAGGTAACTTTAATTTGAATACGAACCTAGCTGGTAAGCAGTTTTTATCACCATCAGGTCATCGAAAATCTGGGCATAATTATAAATCTCTACGTGTATATAGTCTGTTTGGAGGAAAAAAGGATGAGAAGGGTGATGATGCACCTTCCAAGGTCAGTTATGTTACCCTCCAATTCTGGTGTATAGTGCATGTTAATTTCAACCATTCTTTAGAAATGGCTGTATCGATCTCTGACATCGAGTCGCGTCTAGTATGAATTCCAGATTATGGGGATACAAGCCTCTTTAGCATTGTTATAGTCTGATCCATGCTCTAATATTGCTGTGACCTTTTTATTATAATTAATGTCCCATTGTTTAAACTAGTAGCTAATACTAGTTGTGTTGGTTCCAGTCTTGTCTATATTGAAAAAGATGCTTCATATTATGCCTTCGGTGTTGTTATCTCTCAGTTTCAATGTCCTTTTGAGTTTTGATTATTATATATGTTTTGCTTGTTACTGCTAGTAGTTTACGTGAGACATTTATTGGTGGAATTTGATCTTGATAATTGGCTAGGTCTGTATGGGGCACTGTACGTGGTCTTTGTTTCATCATATTTTATGCCCCATGTCAAGATGAGCTATATTTGCACTCCATACCCGCTCACTGGATGCATGTTTTATCATATGCCCTCATTTTTTTTTCTGTGTTAAAGATAACGAAAAACAAAAGAGCTTCTGCATATGCATAGGCCACTTAGGTATCCATGAATAGCCAAAAATCCACAAGTTAAACATATCCAGGGAGGCTTTGTGCAAAACTAAGAGAGCACATATGCTGGATGAAGTCATATGATCTAATCTGTATGATGTTTTTCCTAAAGTACTGAGTGCAGATGGGCTAGAAAACAAGGAAGGCACAGTGTAAATCACCATTTTGATGGTGGTCTAATTCAATTATGTGCTAGAAGGTTTCATCTTGTGTTCCTTTTTCACTTTATTAGAAATATGCATAGGCATGGAGAGAGAATATATAGGCAGCCACCGTGCATGTCTCTCTCCAGTCCTCTATCTTGTCATTAGATTTACACTCTGTTTCATAATCACTGATCCATTTCAAAGTGCTGAAATTGATTGATGGCTTGAGTCACGTGACCAGGCATTATGATTCGTTTGACTGAAAAACAAGCTTCGTCATCTTTTGCAAATGCACATGATATTTAGAACACTGCACCATGGTTGACACACTCTCTCTCCCTCTCTCTCTCTCTCCTTTGAAGCTAATGCTGCTGTCCTACTAATTTGATTTTAGGCAGGAATTCTTGGAAACATGCAAAATCTGTATGAAACAGTGAAGAAGGCACAAATGGTTGTCCAGGTTGAGGCTGTGCGGGTGCAAAAAGAACTTGCCGCGTATGGATCTTATATTAAACCTATTATTATCTGAACTTTTAGTTTCTTTTTGTGTGTGAGTTTCATTTGGTTTCATTCTTTATTGCAGAGCAGAGTTTGATGGTTACTGTGAAGGTGAGCTGATAAAGGTGGGTTATTATAGTTCTCTTTCTCTCTCCCTCTCTAATTCTAATAATGTCATATACCGCTTCACATGGTTGGCTACATTAACATTAGCTAATGAACATGGTTCAAGCTAGGTATGTCAATTTATACTTCTGGCTTTTAGGTTTCAATTTCCTTTACCACTTACTGTTCCACTGAATAACTTTCCACTTATTTTGCTTAATTGGATTATTCAGTCTTTTATGGGTGGAGTTATTCTTGAAAGATTGTTGCTTTTAACAAAATTCCTAGATTTAGAAACTTTTTATCCATAACTATTAAGGTTATAATTCTGTTTATGATCTTGAATATTAGGTATAGATAGAAAAATAAAGATGCCTTTGATGAAGAATGGTTCCATTTCAGTTTTCATGTTTTCCAATGAAGTGTTGCTTCTGTATATCTCAAGCCAACTGTATGATGTATCATTCTATTGTATTTTACAGATTTTCTGACTCTGAATATTTCTTTTTCAGGCAACATTATCCGGAAACCAGCAACCTGTACGCATAGAGATTACTGAGGCAGCAATGGAATTAGGTGCAGAAGTGAGTATACGATTATAAAACTATTTTTCTGATAGATTATTTGAGATGACTCCTCTATTATAGTCATGTCTTAGGTGATTTTTGTTTTCAAAATCCTTTTAACAAATGGTACAGGAAGAAACAGTTTTGAAACTTCCACTTGCTTTGGTTAGGATCTAATAATGACCCATGTTGGGATGCGATTATAAGGCATTGAGAAGAATTTAAAAGTTGTGTGGTTTTGCTTGATTCCCTTATCAAGCTGCTAAATTTTTTTATAAACCTTAATACTTGCAGAAGCTATCTCTTTTAGTTAATGAAGCATACAAGGATGCACACCAAAAAAGTGTCCAGGTGATAATCCCATAATTTTTTTTTATAATTACAAGAGGTGGAACCTTTTTCAGAATCGCTTTTACTGATCATTTCTTTTATCCATTTTCTCAGGCCATGAAGGAAAGGATGAGTGATCTTGCACAAAGCTTAGGAATGCCACAAGGTCTCAGTGAGGGATTAAAGCAACAATGATCTCTCAACCAGCACCTGCATGAGCTTAGTGAGGGATTGAAGCAACGATGATCTCGACTGGCACAGTGGCACCTGGATGATTTTCGACTTTGTTTACAAACCAATGCATAAATGCTCGTTTGTACTTTTTACTATATGAATTTGCATTGTGATTTTTGTTTTCTGATGGAACTCGCACTTTTTGTTCAAAAATGCGTTGATGTTAACACAAATTCGAATATCTTTCGTTCCTATCTGTATCTGTTCAGGGGCATGTACAACACCCCAAAATTAAAATGATTGGACAGAGAAAGAAGAACTTTCTTTTTCTCCTATTATTCCCGTCAATTCCCTGAAACAGTAACAACAATATAATGAGAGAACTTAATTGGCAATTCTTTTCTTTTTTGGATGAATCTAATACTCTATATTTAGTCACCTTTTTGGCTCGAAGCCTTGTACTTCGTAGATGGTCAAGGGTCTCGTACAAGAAAGTGAGACTTCTAAATACGAATACATGCACGCTCTACAAGGCAGCTCTGAGACTGGGTATCTCTGCAGAACTAGTTGACCTTTGGATGGTAGACAACAGACAGAAGCATGCAACTCTAGTTCTGTTCCTCATGATTGTAGTTGGGAATTAGTACCAGAGACATGAAACGTTCATGACGTGACAACGAGCTTTTGGCTAACAGGCCATTGACATTACTATTATTTCTTTGAGGGTTGTTTCAGGGTAAGGTTGATTTCGTGGTTTAGGGTTTAGGTTTAAGTATTTTGAATGCTTACAGTGGAGGAGAATGCAATGTTTGTATCGCCCATGCTACCTCAGTGGAAAATGAAGCGTGAAATCATCTTGTTACAATCCTGTTTTCCTGGCAAGCAAAAAGTGCTGAGGGCATTTTGTCATTGTTCAAGGTGAAAACTTGAAATGCAAAATGGATTAATGCTCCATTTCCTCTTAGAAGTTTTTAAGTGCTTGCGCTCAAGATTTTCGACAGTGTTATAAATTAAAAAATTCTAGTTCGGTTTCCCTCATTCCGGGTTTGCCCGACCATGAACTGGAATAGAACTGACAATCTTTAAGTAAATAACAAGACATCCTAATTTGAATGAATCATTCCTAACACTAATCACCCATAAATTAATTAAAAGGGGATTTTGCTCTTGACTGGTAGATTTGCATTTGCTCAACAAACTTGAAAGCTGAAATAATTGATCTTTTCCTATTTTCTTAAGAAGTTCATTAAGACTTCGGCAATTCTTTCCCCGCCAAGAACGATCTGAAAAGAATGAAAGCTCTCCCGGGTTGAAATAGTGGAACTTCATGGCCAGCTCCTCTGACTGTTGCAAAAGTTAGTCCTTCATAAACTTCTGTCCATCCTCCGACCTAGTCAATCATATTCGATTCAAACTGAACTTAAAAAAAAAAAGAAAAGGAAAAACAAGAATGTACAACTAAAAAATTTGGGGAATCAAATACGGTGTAAGATGTGAATACCTGGCTGCCAGAGTACCAAGGATACCATGGAGTTTTGATATGGAGGTTCAGATGGCTAAGGGAAAACCTGGTGGCAGTCACAGGTACAACTGAATCTGTGTCTCCACTGCATTTAACAGAAGTAATTATGCCACATTACATTCTGTCAGTTTTTAGTTGTTGGGAAAAAAATCAGGTCTGCAGCAGATTAAAGTCATGCAGTAACACAATCCTATACCAAGGACAATGAAACACTCAACCTCCAAAGCCTAAGTTCGTGGCAGTAACAAATGGCTTGTCATTCATATGATTGGATACATCTTGATATAAGCTAATTCAGTTAGAAATTGGTAATTGTCAGCCTGTCCCACTTCCCTTTCTTTTACTATGACCTTCAAGAAAAAACCCACAGCCAGTATCTGAAAGAGTACCGTACTGTTATTACGTGTATTCATATCCTTTTTATGGTATCCTATTGACTTTTTCTTTTGTCAATACTGCAAAACCTGGTCGGTTATGGTTTGCATCTTTTGCTAATTTTTCCTGGTTAAGGAGCAAAACTTACGAGATTTTATATGAAAATATAAAACATGGTGAGAAAATTCTAATGCTCCTGGACTTGGAGTGATTGTTTAAAACTCACCTGAAAACCCAAATTCTTAGGTTTGCTGCAATCAGCTCTTTGTATATCGGTAAGATGGAATTATCAGAATCCTTCCAGTTTTTGATGAGAACATCACTGTCCAATGACAAAAATCATTTCTCAATTACCAAACCCTCCGTTTGAAAAAGAATTCAAAGTAATGATTGAGTAGTTGGAAAAACCTGCAAGCAGTCCATTTATAAGGAATTCCAGTAGTATTTGCATGCATAGCCCTTTGCACGTCTGGCCGATTATAGTATTTCTCGGCATAATTTTCAGTACACGGATCATACCCTGAAACGCGTCTATGCAAAAGAGTATTTTTGAGCCTTATATGCCTTTCTGAATTGGTTGTTAATACCAAGCAAGATGAAGTATAAATGCTGTATTGATCAATGTCTCCGAACTCGTGGTTCATGGCATAACTGACAGCACCATCACATTTCTTAGAACTTTTCTCAGCTGTAAAGTTGCAATATTTGATGATGGCTGTGTAGGTTCTATCAGATATCATGGAATGGGTCCACCAAAATGTAACAGTTCCAATGCTGTCATAGTAATTGTCTGTAACAGCATTTCCAACCTGTATGATTTTATTCAAAAAAATTTTAAATCACATTAACTTTATGCAGAGCTTTTTGGTTGATTGCTTCTGACAAAAGTGAAAATTATGCTCATTTTACTTACAATAAATCCTTTAAGATTGATGATCGGACGCGAATAGGCCTTATTATAATCATGGATTTTCTTGGCCAACTGAGGAACATAATGCCCTATATAAACATTAAAATTTTGTCAGTTCAGACATTTCTTTCATGAGGGAAGAATTTGGAAAGCTTATTTAGGTAATCGATAACTTGATATATAACCAACTGTTGCAGGCTCATGTACCTGCATAACTTTCGCCGGCAAGGTAAAATTCTCTGTGTTTGTATTGGGGAAATCTTGACATCCATCTGATGAGAAATATATGAGCATCCAGAGCTGTGTCACAAACAAACTATCATCAGGATTAAAGAATGATACATCAGTGAGATTAGAGAAAAGCAATGGCTAGCTGCAAATTAAAAACACCTGTCCGATTGTCTCCGGTGTCTTTAATATTGGAGCTTGTATTTGTGTAAGAGAATCCAACCCCAGCAGGTGATTCAAGGAACAGAATATTTGCTTCTGTAAAACATAAAGAAAAATCAAATACAAGTTTGATAGGATAATGATTGCTGAAAAAGGGATGATGACCCGTAATACATTGATTATTACCTATATTCCATGAATACTTGTTCAGATAAAGGGACGAGCCATTTTTATTAATCCGAAATGGTCCAATTTCCTCTGATGCTCCATATGCAACAGATGAGCAACCTGGCCCTGCACGGTTAGCCAGTGACGGATAAAAATCATCAGATTACTCCAATTATAAGAATTTTTAAGGTAAATTGGTTGATTTAATTAGAACAACCTAGCATTGACTGAATTCATATACAGATGTACTCCAAATGTGCTTGTTTTAAACTGATTAAGCTCTGCCAAGTTTATTTACCAAGCCAACTCAAAGAGTGAAATATTTACTTAATCAGAAGGAATGATCATTTCATGCTTTTTATTTCTTGATGAACCTTGATCTTCATTCTAGATTAGACATATACTACAGATACAGGGGAGGAAATTTTCGAGTACCAGGATCTAATTGATAATTGCAAAGGGAAGACAGTTTTGAAAACCAAAAAAAGATGTGACCCTTGAATGAAAGGTTCAATGGTTCAAAGAAAGCAGTGATATGAAGCAAGAATTTTTTCCAACCACAATAAATAACGGCTAACATAATTAAAACTGCATGATTTCAAGCAAGAAAAAAGAAGGGTCCTAAGCAGGCAACATCAAACAATGGCCCAGTTTCAGCTCCACTATGTGAAATGTGATGCTTCTATTCCTTTCTAGCTAAGCTAGCCACTCGGAGTAGGGTCAACCTCGTGCATAGTGGAGCAGAAATTCAGAAGTCAGGCTGTCAAGTATCAATGGAAATGACCATTGCTACAGTGTTATTAGTAGAGTAATTTATCTAATCAAGGATTTTTTTTCCCATTTTGACATCTTCCCATATTTTGTGCTACAAAAAATAGCTAACCTACAAATATCAAATTAATCATAGCTATAGTTGCTTATTTGAGATAATTGAGCATTTATATATTTTCACTTGAAATATTCTTCTTCAAAGACAAAGAACAAACTAAAAATCACAAATAAAAGGGGAAAATGTTGCTTTCCTTAAACTATATATTCAAAGTTTTACATTGGAATAGTGTGAAAGTGAAAGAATTCAATAAAATAACAGTTCAGTCAATTTGTCTACTCTAAACCATTCGGTAAAATTGTGACTGCTTTACACTAATATCTTTTGATTTTCATCCTTGCAGAAAAACATTTAATGGTGTCACTTGAATAATCTGAGAGGGAACACCTACCCTCTTTGCTCTTAATAAAATGACTGAGGAAACAGTATTACTTATTTTCTTCTGAGATGTCAGCTTCTGTTTCCTTTTTTGTTTAATAAAAAAATTTTAAAAATAAATAAATTGCTCAGTCCTTAGCTTCTGATATTAATATGCTAGATAGTGACCCATTTTATTATATTTCCTATGCTTTAGTTTAATGAACTTTTCTCTGTGTGTGTGTTTTTTTTTTAAATTTCTTTGAATTCATCCTCCATTTCTGCTTCTGGGTCATAACTAATAACAGCCCGAGCAACCCCACAACATCAGCACCGTCACCCTGTCAACTGAATGCGCATGCTTCAAAGAAACAAAGGAACAGTGAGAGAATTGGGGCAAGCATCTTTTCTGTCCTTTTTTGCTGCCATCTCTATCTCAAGCCAACGCAAAGAAACAAGAGAAGAAAGAGAGAGAGAGAGAGAGAGAGAGAGAGAGAGAGAATTGGAGGGGAAGGGGGCATCTTTTGGTCGCAATAACATGGAAGATTTTGGACGGTTCTACTGGAAGTAGTTGGTTCACTTTGTGGTAGCTTTTGGGGTTTCTTTTTGCCTTGAAAAAAAGACTATCAAATACAAACAAGTTGGAAAGAAAGTGACAAAGAAATTACTCAGAGAGCAAAGCTTTTTTGAGGAAATGGGTTTATTCAAAAACAGGGAATAAACGTCAGTTGTAGAAGAATAAAACCCTAAAAAGATCCAGACAGAAAGAGATCACGAGGTCCCATGTGGGTTTATTTTGGTTTTCCTTTTGGTACCACGTAAACAACCAGTTGTTTTTACTGTGCTTTCTTTCCAGTTGAAACTGACCTTGCTAGGAGGTGCATTTTAGCTTTGGGTCAAGGGGATTTTGCTAATTTGCTCTCGGAGGGTTGATGGGCGCAGTCTGTCTGGAATTGTGGACAGAGTGGGCACGAGCTAGGACATGCAGATGTGGAAATGCTTCATTTATTGAGAGGCAGAGATATTTTTGGGTCATTATTTTGGCGTCAATGCCAATATTTCAAGCACAGAACCAATAAAGACGAAACATTAATTGCACGGAAAAATGAAATGTTCATAACTTCATGTCAGTTTATGGCATTGTGATTCATGGGATTGTTTTTTTCATGGAAAACATTCTGTGGGTTCTTTTCCCTTGTGTGCATTACCTTCAATGGTTGATGCAAATTCTTTGATTTGACAAAAAAAAAAAATTAAGACACTTTCAGTACAATCTTACTATGGTAAAATGTAGAGCAAGAGCCAAAAATGATGTCAGACTTGTAAGAAAACATGAATCCATGATGTATTTCATTAATCAACAGCCAAGAAAATAGATGGAGTAGCTATCTAGAAAGACTGACCTCCATTGAGCCAAAGAACAAGAGGTTTCTTCTCTGGAACTGTAGTAGCTTCCGTCAGCCAGTAGAAGAGAGCTCGGCCATGTTTCTCATTGACAGTAACATAGCCTGAAAACTGTGAAAATGTCACTGGTGGTTGTCCTGGAAGAGAAGCAATTCGATCGAGTTCTTGTTGTTTTGGTGGTACAGCAGCAAGAATGCCGATAAGTGAAGATAAGAATAGGTAAGATATTGAGATGACAAAGACTTTGCTTTGACCTGTTGCTGCAGCCATTTTGCACCCTTCTTTTGAAACTGAAGGATACTGTTCTCTCTCCCTCTCTTTCTCTCTCTGTTGTGATGTAGTAGCAATTAAAAAAAGCTACTCAGAGATATTAATACCTGTATAGAAACTGATCAGAGAAGATATATATGGATGCCTGAATACTGTAGACTTATATGGTGAAGATTATATCAAGTCTGATGTTGTTGCATTACTACACTATTGCAGGTTAGGCGGTAAGTGGACCTCTCTCTTTCTCTCTCTCTCCCATCTCAAGATTCAGAAGAGAGAGAGTAGGCGGTCCTACTCCTACAAGAGGTAATTGAAAGTTGGATCAGAATTTGGTTAAAAACCCAGAAGCCAAATCATAAATGCATCACAAGACTCTCTCTCTCTTGCCATAGTGTAAAATACCAATAACCAAGAAAAGCTGGCTCAATAAAAGGCATTTACTCTCTAAATCTGTAATCTTCAAGGATATAGATAGGCAATTTTGATTCTTATAAAAGCATTTTGAACTTGTTAACTTTCCAATCCCTTAATGGAGAGTGGTAGAGATGTAATAATCTTATTATTAAAACAATTCTTGTGGTATATACTATTAGCAAATTGTCACTATAATGTATTAGTAATTTTTGAGTTCTAAATATCCAAAAAAGACAAATTGAGTGCTTGGACAGAAACTGGTCACTGAATAAGCTTAAGTAGTAATTTGAAACGGCATTTAATTCAAAGAAAGCTTGAACTGCTTAGCTTTTAGTAGCAGTATCTAACCACCGAATCTAAAGCACTAAGCAGGGGAACACTCTCTCTCTCTCTCTCTCTCTCTCTCTCGGCTTTTGTGGTCCAGAAAACGAAGATAGAAAAGAGGGTTAATAAAGATTAATGGATGTAGGGGTTGCGATTCTTGTGACCTTTCTAAAGGCCTGTAGCTTGATACTTTTGAATGTGGTACAAACAAAACTGCAACAGTTGGAGGTATAGCATAAGCCTGAAGAAAGAGATGTTCATAAACCCAAACGAGAAGTCGTTACCAGCTCTCTTTCTATTGAGAGTTGGAAGCATCAGGCAGGCGTGAATCTCCCCCACTAACCATTTTTTTCCCATGAGGTTTTCGTGTGGTATAAAAGCCTGCAAGGAAAGTGGTTAAAACTATATTATTCGATTAGATTGATTGATTGAAAATTTGAGTGACAGGGTTTGGTCAACCTTCCAATTTTTGTTGCATCTTCCTTAACATCGATCCCATAAACAATTGTCGATGGAAGTTGTTAAAACCTCTTTACCAAAATTTTCTAAGCCAGCGAACTTGCCTAATTTATAATTCTTTAATTCCCAATAAGCAAGTAGTAGCTGTTTAGCCGATTACGGTTCGTCATAATTATCACTGTTTACTGAAGGTAGTTTTAACAAATAAATTTCACAGGTTGACTACTTGGTTTGCCTTTTGAGCCACTTGAAAATTATATAATCATAGAATAAATTGGATGTATATATGTGCAAAGTAAAGTGATCGAGAACTGTATGAACTTAAACAGTAAATAGACGCGTCCACCGCCGCCTACATGTGCAGGCAAATTAATCCCTGGCCTCATTATTTGTTAAAGATGAAAATCTCAATTATTACGTAGTAAGAACAGATAGGACTACTAGTTCATTGCCGTCCATTGTGCTGACCACACCCTTGGTCGCTTTCTCCACCTATGTTTAACTATCGATATCCCTTTCGGGGGAGGGAGATAATGTGTAGCTTTTCCCCAGTTGAAGCTGTAAGCTGCCCATTACAGCAAAATGAGCAATGGTACGTTTAAACTTGAAAGTAATTGTTTGATTATTGCAATATGGTTTTGACCACGATATATTAGCCAAACTAATATAGTAGTAGTATATATGTTTGGAAACCCATCTCAACCCCACATGCACAGACCTAATTATAGAGGTTACTTCAATAGCTAGCTAGCAAATTCCACACCTCAAGTCAGTCAGAGACCTAATTATACATATATACTTGCTTGCTTAGTAAACTCTTACAATATGAGATCTGCCCATGATTTCCGAGATGTTGTTTCCACAGTCTTTACAGTACTTTTTTTTCCCTACAATATTGTTTCCCTGTGTACAACACAAAACCCCATGTGCATGCAAGCATGCAAATTAACATCTCAACATCATCTTCATCGATCCCACAATTTCTACATCATCAATTCATCATTACCAATGCTATGTCTGTCCTAGAACCTTCTCACTAATTTAGTTCTGAAGAATGTATATTATCAGATGCATGTAGTTGGCAGCCTGATCAACTTGACATTTAATATTTCTTGTCTTACATCTATATATGGTCAAAGTTTCATTTTACTACTCTAATTTATATGCAAGGAAAATTGTTTATTAAACACTTTTTTTTTAATTTATTCTTTTGGATAATTAATTGTCATATGCACATTTCATCATGTCAAAGTAAAACAATTACTCATGTTGGTGTTATTTCCTAAGGATGATATTATATTGTGTATATAATGTCAAGTTTGGTTATATATGCAGCATGCTATCTACTTAATTCTATCAATCAAAGTAAAAAAATATATTAATAACATTATATTTTTGTAGTAGCTATCAGTTTGTCCTTAGTATCTATTTGGGTTAAGATAGTGTAAGAAAAGGTTAAAAAAAAAATGTAGGAAAGATTGATGCAGAGAGTGACCTAATCGATCCAGCCATATATGCATGGATCATATATATATATATATATATATATGCATATATAGAGATGTCCCAACGGCTACGGCACCGCAGTTTGACCCCAATTTGTCGCCTTAATAAAATCATTCATATGGATGGAATTATTTGGCCGTCCACTCCCACATTCATGAAGCCAGCAGACATATAATACAATCAGATCACATTAAAGACAAATAATAAAAGAATAAAAGGATAGAAAAGAAAGGGGCGGGAGCTGGTATATATGGCCGGGGGAGATGTAAGTGGCTTGTCTTCAATATGAGCAGTTGGGCAGTTTTGTAGCCATGGTTTTTGCTTTAAAATTTAAACGCCGCTCATGTCTCAAGGCTTGCTGGGGCTGGCGTTGTCCTACAGCAAGGACATAGTATATCTCAAATTTGGCACTATCTTCTCTTCCAAAATGTCAACTTAGTTAAACATTGATCTTTTAATTAGTTGAAGTAACTAGTTACTGAAACTATTGGTGGATATAAGGTAGCAATCGACTAGTCCAAGATTAATTAGATAGACATGATTAAGGATTAATGGGGCCACCAATCACTTAGGGACAGGGAAGGAAAGCTTTTATCAAACGACAAAATTTGAAGAAGATGTTCATTTTTGGCCATTATTCTGTGCAAACCAATTAATCAAATCACATTTGTTTTGTTATCCTATCATATTTAATGCATCAACATTGACGCTTTGGGCTGCCTTTCATTTCCAAAAAAAAGTTGCTTTCGAAGATTTGGGTATTTGCCTAGCCGTTGAATGAATCTGTTTCTTGATAGTGATATGAAGATACATGAGCGGTGAGATACTAAATCTCCTTTCTGGGGTTAGATAATTGTTAGGTTATACATTGTGAAGCTTGGTCAAATAGAACAGTATTGTTTCGCTAATCTAGATGTGACTTGGTACTTAACGGGCGTCCGGTGTCGGGGGATAGAGCCAAGAACAGTGGCCTTTTAAGTCAAAGCGATTTTTTTTTCTCTCCTTTTCTTTTGGATTGTGATTATCTTGGTACCCAGTAACCACTTTGTCGGAATCAAGCACACCTGACCATGTACTAATAATTAATAAACAAACATGTAGCTTCTAAAACATGAATATTTGAGCTTAATTGGCTTACTCGAACCAGCAGCTCAACTTGTGCACATGGATGGACAAGTGTAAAAATGCATTACTGGGCTAAGGATGAAAAGATTCAGAGCTCTTAAAGAGATGTGAAGTTGGCCCAAAGGAACCTGGGTCAAAGGAACTGAGTCTCTGCTTTAACCTGTAATCCATTTGTGGGTTACTGTTTCGACATTGGGAAATGGGATTTTTGGAAGTTGGAGTTAGGACCATTGGAGAAATTTATGGCCATTTCTCATAGATTACGGCCCAACAGCTGCATTGAGTAGTAACTTTAAGCTGTTTCCATTACAAAAAGTTTGGTAACAACTAAAAATTGCCAGAAGTCCATCGCTGCCAAACTTAATACCACTTGAAAAACAGATTATGGAAGGCCCTTATCACTGTAACAATGGGAAGCAAGCCCATCAGAATGCCACGCCATCGCTTCAAAAGGTGAAAAATTCGGAGTGCAAGAGAAGAAGTTTGGTTTGAAACTTTTGATTCTATAACGGGTGAGGTTGGTCAAATTTGGAGGTTTTGATGGCAATTTTCAACACAGAGGGAGAAAGTAAATGAGTTGCTTTGTTCTGTTAGTTAATCAAGCTCATGTAGTGCATCTACATATGAACCCAATGTAAATCCCCATCCCCATGCCATCCTAGAAATTCACTCACTTTTTCCTTTTCCTCCTGGGACAGTGGATGAGAGCAACAGAAACAGTAGGGGTTAAGTTGGAGTTCTCTTAAAAGCCTCCTATTCATGATATAAATGCACCTGATCTGTACATTCCATTGATGGGGCCTTTGGCACATATGTGGTTCTAGCAGGCTTCTTTTTAGGCATCAATGGAAAGCAAGTCCAACTTCCCCTTTTAATTTTCTTTTTTCTTTTATTCATTTGGCAAATTTAGCAGAAATTCTGCCCCAAAATGTTAGTTCACATAAGCATGCCCACATTCCTGAGCTGCAAAACTTTTTTTTTTTTTTTTTGGAAACAATGTGCTGCAAAAACTTTAACAAATCTTAAGGTTTATACAAAAGTCTCCCCCTTTTAGGGTGTTTTGAAGGCAAAGCAGGTAGACAGTGACTAAAATTTCCAATAAAAATTTCCTCCTTTTGCAGATTTAGTCCTGAAGCTCTGGGAGTGAAAGCTATAAATAAATTATTTTATTAAATTCGAAATTTAATTCATATAATTATATTTTTAAAAATAATATTAATTTGTAGAGTTACTGTTTTAATTTAATTACATTGCGGGAACGCAACTACATAGATTATATATACATAGATATAAGATCTCATTGATATGCCTCTCTCCAATAATAAAAAAAACATTCATAATGCAATAATTTTTCCCAATTTGTTGAAATTTTAAAATTTTAAAATTCTAAATCCTATGAATAGGTGACAAAGTCCCATCTAAAAAAATTAAAATGGAATCCTCGTCGGACCGCACCTCTGCCTATCTTGTACCAAAGGCCTTATCA